TGTGTGTGTGTGTGTGTGTGTGTGTGTGTGTGTGTGTGTGCGTATCCCTCTTTTGCTAATGCAAGCTCCCTCTCCTTCAGCAGCAGCAGCAGCAGCAGCAAGGATCGGCCTTGCCGAACACGTCCGGGCAGCAGCAGCAGAAGAAGAAGAAGAAGAAGAAGAAGAAGAAGGCGGTTTAGGGTTGAGGCTCGCAGACATTTTTTAAGGCAGAGTATGGGGCAGGCAGGGTTGTTGTTTTGAAAACTCACAAACAGACTGCTAAAGGCTACCGATTCTATTCAAGAAGTTCAAGGTCATGTATACCGATTGAGTTCAAGAAGTTCAAGGTCATCTATAGAATTGGCTGACAAAACCGTGGCACCCTACATACGGGCAGGTACAGCAAGTCATAATGACCTGACGACACAAAGCCAACATTACCAAAATCGCGATCTATAGAAATATGGTAGGAATGGTCGAATGTGGCGTGCTCACCAACAAGACCATGAACTTGTGGTTGATCGGCGATCGCCCGAATTGTGCAATCGGACGATCCAAAATGCATAACCAGGCCTTGCTTAGTCGGTACACCCTTCAAGTGTTAAAGTACAGACCTGAGTTCGAACTCCACTGGAAGAAGCAGTTGAGTAAAACTGTACGAAAACACTAGAATTTTGAATTACCCAAGGCTGTTGAGTTCGATGATGATACCTCAAGGCTGTTTCCCAGTTTAAAAAAAAAAGAAAGAGAAAATAAAAAGTGCACGGACCGACACGCGAGACCCGCTGTTTCCTTTATAAAGAGTATTATAGAAAAAGAAAGAAAAGGAAAAATGCAAACCCAGGCCAGTGATTACTTATCATCTTGGCATCCTGACACTGCTGACAGACGACCTTTCTTTTTGAGTTTTTTTCTTTCAATTGTTAAAGGTGCCAGCCCCTACCATTGTTGTATCCATCAGGGTTCAAACCCATGATCTGTTTATCAACAGCTACATGTGTGTAGTAGTGTACCATTCATCCACATGGCTGGGAATCCTGATGAGCAACCCTATTGATTGTTTGAATATAACCTTGGGCCCTGGGACCCAGGGGCCCAACACCATTGCACTTAGAAGATTGGCAGAATGAGGTCACAGTTCCCATCTACCTCGCATAAGTGATGATTAATCCGGGCCGTCGACTTACTGTCGATCTTGATTGCTTCCCCCC